TGGGTCCTCACATGCCACAGGGGGTCCCCGTGCTGAGTGACTGTCGCAGGGCGACTGCTGGTGCAGTGGGGGGCCGGTGTGCTCTGGGGCGGGCCCCTGCTTGGAGGGCCTGGGCAGTCAGCTCTGTGGCCCTCCCACAGGACATGGAGCTGTGACCGAGGCCGTGACTGGTGTTTGTGGGGTCCCTGCGGGGTGCTGTGTCCCTGGGCCCAGCGCCTGTCCTGGCTGTGGGGTGCCCTCATGCAGGTGAGGAGAGAAGGACCCAGACCTGGCCCGGGGCTTAGGGGCACCTGAGGTTGGAAGCTCAAGTCCAGGCCTGACCCGGCCTGGCGAGCCCCGAGGGTTCAGGTCTGTGCCCAGCGCTGTCTACCCTGGCCACTGAGGACACACAGCAGGGAGACTGGACGCAGCAGGGCCAGAGCAGGCGGGGCTCCCCTGTGCACCCCGTGTCTGGGGAAGCTCTCCTCTGAGACTGTGTCACTAGTCTGCCGTCATCGGAAATACACGGAGACGCTCTGCTGGTGAGGTAGGAATGCCCCTACATAAACGCATCACGGCAGAGACAGATTTCGGATTAGAGCCCCAGGCTCCCCACTTCCATGCAGCCGGGAGGGCCCTTCCGGAGGTGCAGCTGTGGGAGGGGTACACCTGTCACTCTCCCTGCTACGGTCATGCTGTCCGAGGTCCCAAGAGGGCGGACACTCAGGTAACAGTTTATTGGTGGATGTTTTTGCTTTGAAACTTAGATCTTGTGATAGTCTGAGAAACGCCTGGTCCTCCCCGGGCTGATAATCTGCGCCTGGATTGGGGAGCAGATGAGGGGCGAGCTCCACACAGGTTGGGAGCACCGGGGCCCAGAATAGACTGGGGCCTGGTCACCCTGCATCAGCCATGAAGTCGGAGCCAGTGTGGACTCTCCCGCAGACGGTCAGTAGGTGACACTCACTGACCGGGCTGTTTCCTGTCACTCACTCATTACACGGGGGCCCACAGACCCTGTCCTGCCAAGGTCAGAGTCCCCTCCTGTCTGTGCCCAACCCTCACCCCACTTCCTGGCTGGGCAGCAGGTTGTTGTGCTCTGGGCTGTGGCTTCTGCAGGGCTGTGCCAAGCTGCTGGCACAGAGATACCAGGCTGCGTTATCCTGCCCCACGGAGGTCATGGTCAGCTCAGAGGTGAAGTTACTGAACTGCGTAACGTTGAATCCAAAAGAAATGGCTCCTTTTTCATAAACTTTTCCAACATAATAGCTCACCAGGAACTCCAGGCTCTGGCCAGGGTTCTGCTTGTACCAGTACACAGTCCGGTGTCCCTTCTCATAGCAACACGTCAGGGTCACGCTCTTTCTTCTCGCTGTGACCACTTACCTGGGGGTCTGCGTGACAGCGGCGTCCCCTGGGCCTGTGGGAGAGACAGACGGGCTGAGGCAGAGCCAGGGAGCCTCTGGCAGCCGTCACGGGCAGGCGGGTCCCGGCTGCCGAACCCTCGGGGCTCCCAAGCTCAGGCCCCACCTGTTCCCAGGAGACACAGCAGAGGAGCTTGGCGCCCATGGCGGCCTTGAGACCGGCCAGCTCCTGCCCAGGGGTCTGGGGTAGGCACCTCCTGGGCCCTGGTTGGACACTCGCCGCTGA